GTCCAGAGGTGAGATGGAAAGGCAGAGAGGGTTAGGAGCTGGTTGAATGTTCATGGGGAATCGGGCGGAAAGGAGGAATGTGCTGTCGGGTGAGCAATTAGGGTCTCATAACAATGTAGGTATAAAAATTTTGTATGGGAGACTAACTTGAAATGTAAACTTCATTTAATTACAACAATAAAAAAAAAGAATAATCTAAAAAATAAAAAAATTCTGTCTCTCTATACGTATGTACATACATATATATGTGTAGTATATACACACACGTAAGGGACATTTTCTTCCATTACCTTTTCTAATGCTTATTGTTTAGGTATCAGAAAGTGATTGATTTCTCTATTTTTAAAGTCAGTCCTTTACTGAATTATTATTTCTATTACTTTTTCTAATATTATTTATTTCTATCCTGTATCTATTATTATTTCTAATAGTTTTAGCTTATTTTCTAAAGTATTCCAGATATGCAATAGTGTCATCTCTAAGTAGTGATTAGTTTTGCCTCTTCCTTTCAGTATCTGTATATCAATTCTTTTTCTTATCTAATTGCATTAGCCAGTACCTCTAGAACAAAATAGTGGGCATGTTTCTTTTGAGTTTAGTGAAGATACTTCTGGCATTTACCTTTTACAATGATTTCTTTTTTAATCTTATTAAAGAAGTGTCCATACATTTTGTTTTAATTAAGAATTTTTTAAATCAGGAATTACGTTATGGAATATAGTTTGGACATCTATAGAGATGATAAAATAATTTTCTCCTTTGATCTAGTGATATAATAAATTTCATTAATAGATTTCCTCATATTAAGCCCTCCTTAAATTCCTGGAATGTCCCTAAGGGGCTGAATTGCTGGGCTGAGGGCTGTGGGGACCATGGTCTCAGGGAACACCTAGCTCAACTGGCATAACATAGTTTATAAAGAAAATGTTCTACATCCTACTTTGGTGAGTAGCATCTGGGGTCTTAAAAGCTTGTGAATGGCCATCTAAGATACTCCTGTGGTCTCCTCCCATCTGGAGCAAGGAAGAATGAAGAAAACCAAAGACACAAGGGAAAGATTAGTGCAAAGAACTAATGGACCATAACTACACAGCCTCCACCAGACTGAGCCCAGCACAACCAGATGGTGTCGACTATAACTACCAACTACTCTGACAGGGATCACAATGGAGGGTCCCGGACACAGCTGGAGAAACATGTAAGAACAAAATTCTAACTCACAAAAAAAACAAAACACCAGACTTACTAGCCTGACAGAGACTGGAGAAACCCCGAGAGTATAGCCCCTGGACACCCTCATAGCTCAGTAGTGAAGTCACTCCTGAGGTTCACCCTTCAGCCAAGGATTAGATAGCCCCATAAAACAAAACGAGACTAAATGCACACACCAGCCCAGGGGCAAGGACGGGAAGGCAGGAGGGGACAGGAAAGCTGGTAATGGGGAACCCAAGGTTGAGAAGGGGAGAGTGTCGACATGTCGTGGGACTGGCAACCAATGTCGCAAAACAATATGTGTATTAATTGTTTAATGGGAAACTAGTTTGCTCTACAAACCTTCATCTAAAGCACAATAAATTAAAATAAATAAATAAGTAAAATTTATAGATTAAAAAAAAAAAATTTCCTGGAATGCCCTCAACTGGCCTTGGTACCAAGCTCAGATACTGGTTCATGATTGTTCATAGTAGCATTATTCACAATAGCCAAAAGGTGGAAACAACCGAAATGCCCATCAATGGATAAACAGATAAACAAAATGTGGCATACCCATACACTGGAATATTATTCAGCCGTAAAAGAGAACGAAGTTCTGATACATGCTCCAATGTGGGTAAGTCTTGAAAACATTATGCTAAGTGAAACAAGTCAGACACAAAAGCTTACATGCTGTATGATTCCTTTTGTATGAAATAACCAGAATAGGCAAACCCATAGAGAGAGAAAGCAGATTAGTAGTTTGCCAGGGGCTGAGATTGGGTGGGAGGATGGGAGGAGTAATGAATTACAAAATAGACACAGGGTGTTCGTTATGGATTGAAATGTGGCCCCAAAAATATGTGTTGTAAATCCTACCCTCTATGCCTGTGGTTATAATCTCATTTGGGAATGGATTAGTGTAGGGTGTGGCTTGAATCAATCTCTTTCGACATATAAAAGAGATTAGACAAGCAAGTGAAAGAAGCAGAGATGGGGGAAGAGAGATGCCAAGCCCATGAAGATCGCCCCGGAGCAGAAGCTCAAAGAGACAAGGACCTTCCTCCACAGCCAGCAGACAGAGAAATCCTTCCCCTAGAGCTGGCATCCTGAAATTGGACTTCTAGCCTCCTAAACTGTGAGAAAATAAATTTCTGTTTGTTAAAGCCACCGACTTGTGGTATTTCTGGTATAGTTGCACTAGGTAACCAAGCGTTCTTCTGGAGTGATGAAACTTTTGAAATTAGAGAGAGGTGGTAATTGCACAATATTGTGAATGCACTGAACACCACTGAATTGGTCACTTTAAAATAGTTAATTATATGTGATGTGAATTTTACCTCAATTAAAAAAAAAAAAGATATCCACGTTTGACTTAAAACTACCTCAGATGCTTAATATATACCTTTTTTTTTTTCTCTCTCTCCCTCTTTTTGGCACAAACATAATGCTACAGTATGATCCCAGGACTTGGCTGTCTTGGATAGGTGTGCTGTGGAAACCCGAGCCTGTGATACCCCAGGATGTACTCACAAGATCAACTCCATTTCCCAAGTGAGGTCGGATGTGTTTTTCACCGCTGAGCTGGAGAAACTCTGCATGGGCTCGTTCAGCTGAACTGTGCACACTGGGTTCACGCTGCCTATAATCAAACATCGAGGAGTGGTCTTGGCTTTTATTTTTATTTTTAAATTGCCTTAAAACAGTTTTTTCTTAACACATAAAGAAAGGTTGAAATAGACGACTAAGGTTCTAGCTTACCCACATCTGACAGTCCATTTTTCCTTTCATTTGCTGTTTACAAACTCCCAGAGCACTGCATTCATTTGGGGCTAAAGAACTTTTTGGCACTTGATGTTAACAGACTGGGTCTGACCCCAAGCGTCCCTGCTTTTCTGGCACTTCTGGCTGCAGGCACAGCCTACGGGGTAGGGACTTCCCCACGGCAGTACACAGCAGAGACATACCCCAGCTTCAGGGCAAATCACCTGCTTGCCAACAGCAGGGCTAGTTTTAAGGCTCCGGGATGGCTCCTAAGTTTAGGGGTACCTCACAGAGAACCCATTTCCCTACTCACAATGGATCTGTGTATTTATACCTGGAGTCCTCGGTGGTGCAAACAGTTAATGCACTTGGCTCCTAACCAGAAGGTTGGCAGTTTGAGTTTACCCAGAGGCACCTCGGAAGAAAGGCCTGGCAATCTACTTCCGAAAAATCAGCCACTGGAAACCCTCTGGAGCACCGTTTTACTCTGACACACACAGGGTCACCATGAGTCAGAATCAACTTGACGGTACTTGATTTTTTATGGATACCTGGCTTGGCTCAGTCAAGCACCTCTTTGGGGGTATTTGATCCAGATAATGGGACATTTCATTAGCCGGCAATTGTTTTTGTCTTACGGCACAAAGCTCTGGATTCACTGTGTGATCAGTAAGTGCTAAAATATTTTGATCCTTTCCCACACATCCGGCAGATACACAATACACGCAACAACCCTAAAGGGGAGAGCTGGACCTTGACGGGGACAGACTGGCAGAGGTGAGTAAGGGGGCCTGGAGTAACAGGCAGGTCCGGGCCGGAGCTGGGACGCCAACGCCAGCCGCCTGAGTCCAGGGAGCCCGCTCTTCATTGCTAAACAACATGGCCTCCAAAGGGCAACTTTCGAGTATTTTTTCAAAAAAATGTGGGGTTGTTAACCAATGTCATAAAACAATATGTGTACTACTGTGTCATGAGAAACTATTTGTTCTGTAAGCCTTCACCTGAAGTACAATTAAAAAAAAAAAAATCACCCACCACTAGCTTTGTAAGTGTTTTGATTGTTAAATGTGGCCTATTTATACATTTAAGGGGCGCTGGTGGTGCAAACAGTTAAGCGCTCGGCTGCTAACGAAAAGGTTGGCGGTTCAAACCCACTCAATGGCTTTGCGGGAGAAAGGCCCGGTGATCTGCTGCTATAAACATGACAGCCTAGAAAATCCCATGGGGCAGTTCTACTCCGTCACATTGGGTTTCTAGGAGTCGAAAATGACTCAACAGCACCCAACAACCACAACAAATCTGTACTTTTGTAATCAGGACAAGACACTCCTTGCAACGAAAGATAAATAACACCTAACATGCTCAGGTGGTTAAAAAAAAAAAAAAGAATTAATTCCTACTGTTGGCAAAATTGAGTCACAATGGGAAGATGTCATTATCCAGGCTATCCATATTCTGAGCCTCAACAAGAACTCAGAATCACTGAAAAGGGGAATCTGTTCACAACACTTGTCTTTACTCAGATAAACCAAAACAAACCCGTTGCCGTCAAGTCGATTCCGACTCATAGTGACCCTATAGGACAGAGTAGAACTGCCCCATAGAGCTTCCAAGGAGCGCCTGGTGGATTCAAACTGCCGACCTTTTGGTTAACAGCCATACCTCTTAACCACTACGCCACCAGGGTTACTCAGATGGCAGCCTGCTAATTTCACAGCACCCGAGAGTTCCCGGTGACCTAGTGCCCTCTGTCTCCCTGCAAATCACCCGCATGACACCTCACTTTCTAGGAAAAGCAGAAGCTGCATGTCTGTCAGGGAGGTGAATATGTACTGACATGTTAAACAGCAAGACTACAGAGAAAGCAGTACCAATGACTGTATTTCCTTCTTCATTTGTCTCCCCCACACGAGCACCCAGCTGAGCGGGAGCACGGGAGCCACCACAGGCCCTTAGCACCAGAGGCCACCCCCACCCCGTGCGCACACGCACAGCCAGCCTGGGCTCCCCACCATGCATCGCAGAAACCCTCCTCCAGGCTCTCACTACCTGGAGCACCACAGTCATTCAGCAGCGAGGCTCGGATGTTCCTCACCAGCAGTTTGAGCTCATGAGCCCTTGGCGGTTTGGGAGGGCAGGATTCCTGAGGAGCGGAGGCAGTGTGCTGGAGAGTCTGCAAAAAGGAAAACAAAGGGCATGACCCGTGGGAAAGACCTAGGGCTGAGCAGGTAGCCATCATACTATCATGGGGGAGGAGTCCTTTGGAAAACCCGCGCAGCAGGAACCTTTCCCTTTGCAGCCCGCACCTTTCGCTTTTATAGGAAGTACAAGGGTAGGTTGCTGTCAAGTCGACTCTGACTCATGGCGACCCCATGTTCATCAGGGTAGAAGTGAGCTCCATAGGGTTTTCAGTGGCTGATTTTTCTGAAGTAGATCACCAGGCCTTTCTTCCAAGTGCCTCTGGATGGACTCTAACCTTTCAGTTAACAGTCAAGGGTATTCACTGTCTGCACCACTCAGGGGCTCTCTCAGGGCAACGAAGGGTGTCAACAAACCGAGACCATTTCCCCTGCTTGAAAGCCTCTGATTTCACAAATAAAGCAAATGAGAAACATCACACTTTCTGCCATGGAAAGAGTTCTCCTTGAATCTCGCTGTAGGTTCATCCTGGGAGCAAATTTTGCAATGAGTCCACAATCTCTGACCCGGGGCAGTGTTTAAGAGAATCAGGACGTCCTCTGGAGGCTGCAAGCACCCTCTAGCCACTAGCAGCAAAGGAGGCCACACCTCCTAGACGCAAACAGCTAAGGCCCTGCAGCCACAACCATTTCCTAACTCCAGACAGGGGCTGGAATCCATCTGGGGAATAGCTAATGACCCTTTGGGTAATGCACTTCTGAGGGAATGAAGGGCAGGTGCAGCTGGGATCAGCTTAGGTCTCTTGGTGTCCTCAAATGGGCATCAAGGAGTTTCCAAAAGAAAGCACCCCCACAACTGGAGGACCCCACCTTCAAACCAGCAGACCCCAAACTAGCTTCCACATTTCCCTCAATGCTGAGAGTCTTCCTTAAAGGGGGCTCCTACAATGTTACAATGTTCGGGGGATCTTGAAGCAGAATCTTCCAGGTAGGCGTATCAGGTACGGATTCGCTCTCTGAGCAGAGCGCTAACTGACATCTCCTGCAACATTGGTGTTCTAGAAAACACTATTCCAGGCAGGGGCTCCCAGTGTGAGTTGAGAGGGCCTGGGGCGGGGGGGGGGGTCAAGAAGTCATTACAAAAGCCCCCAAAACTCAGGTGGACCTGTGCTGGAGACTACAGAATCCACATGCCTGGGGTGGAGATGAAATATTTCCTTCAATTGTATACATATACTTTTTTGAGTAATCAAATATGCACATTTATTTTAAAGTATCACATAATTAGTTTATGGTAGCTTTGGTCCTTTTATTTTCTGAATCAATGCATGCTAAAAATATGCTACGATTTTGTGAAGTCTCTCCAATGTTGCCATACAAATTCATTCTCATATTCAAAAATGATCAGGAACTGCTGATCTGAAATAAGCTGCCAGGATAAAAGTACAGAAGGGGCCGCTGCTGAGACTCTGCCCTCACCTCCTGGGAAGCCTGGTCTGATCCCTCCCTCTGCGGAGGCTGGCCCTCCAGCCTGGCCTGTGCCCCCGGGAAGCTGTACAATATCAGGAAGAAAGGACCTTGAGTTCTCATCCATTCACCCGCCTGCTGTCTGCTCCTTCTGCTGAGCTGGGAGCAACGGGATGGTGAGGATGGTTTCTGATATTCTCAAAACTCCCAGAGCCCAGAGCCGGGCACAAAACATGTGCTCAACTGGGATTTGTCCAAGGAAGCAGGATCTCCAGGCTCTGCGTGCTAATAGCTGTGACACCTGCGTAAAAAGGACCAGAGACCGAGAGCCTGCATCATAAAAATCACCTGAAAGTTATATTTTCAAACAGACTTCACCAAGAACTATAGAACAAAGATGGATCTTCTACCACGCTACATAAAGACTGCAAATAAATAAATAGTATATATATATGTATACACACACACACACACATATATATATAAGGAACCTGGGTGGTGCAAGCTGCTAACTGGAAAATTGGTGGTTGGAACCCACCCGGTGGCTGTGCAGAAGAAAAGGCCTGGCAATCTGCTTCCTTAAAGATTACAGCCAAGAAAACCCTATGGAACAGTTCTACTGTGTAATGTATGAGGTGGCCGTGAGTTAGGGGCTGATTTGACCCCAGCTAATAACGATGACAACATATGTTATTGTCAGATGCCACAGAGTCAGTTTCAGCTCACAGTGACGCTACGTTCAACAGAACGAAAACACTGTCCGGTCCTGTGCCATCCTGACAGTTTTTGCTGTTTGAGCCCACTGTTGCAGCTACTGTGTCAATCCATCTCGTTGAGGGTCTTCCTCTTTTTCGCTGACCCTCTACTTTACCAAGCATGATATCCTTCTCCAGGGATTGGTCCCTCCTGATAACATGTCCAAAGTATGTGAGACGAAGTCTCACCATCCTCTCTTCCAAGGAGCATTCTGGCTGTGCTTCTTCCAAGACAGATTTGTGTGTTTTTCTGGAAGTCCATGGTATATCCAATATTCAGTATTCTTCACCGACACCATAATTTAAAGGCATCAATTATTCTTTGGTCTTTCTTATTTATCCTCAAAGACAGATACATACATATCTATCTATCTATCTATATATAGATATATAAATACATTGCCCCTAACTTTATATATATGATTATATATATAAAGTTCAACAAACCAAACCCACTGCCATCGAGTTGATTCCAACTCATAGCGACCCTATAGCTCAGAGTAGAACTGCCCCATAGGGTTTCCAAGGAGCGCCTGGTAGATTCGAACTGCCGACCTTTTGGTTAACAGCTGTAGCACTTAACCATTACACCACCAGGGTTTCCATATATATAAAGTTGGGGCAGGAAATGCATGCTTCACGGAGTCGTGATAAAAACATCAGCTCACAGCGCAGAAAACTGGTGCACTCAAGCAAGGCTCTGCAGGTGTGTTGCCAATGAACACTGAGAGTTCAGGCCCAATGAGGTTGACCAGGGCAAGTGCTCCAGACAATGATCGAGCCAAAGAACCAGCAAGCAAATCAGATAGCGCAGAGGGCCCAGAGCCAGGAGGGAAGCCGGTAATATGGGCGAGGGGTCGCACAAAGGAGATGGGCCTCGTTAGTCCAGCCCTGTCCAAGGGAGAAAAGCTCTGCCTCCCAAAGGGAAGAGGCTGTTGCAGGCTGGGCAGCTACTAAGGCTGCCTGGCCATTGTCCCCCAGCCTGGATTAAATAAACTCAGTCCATCCAACGAGCCTTGCTTCTGGCGCCATGTTCTCAGGACTGGTTTGGTTTCCCAGGTACCTCCATCCGGGAAAGCATGAAATCCAGGATGGCAGGCCCTGAACGGACAGTCAAAAGTCACGTTTGGGCTCCTGGAAATCAGGGAACCAGGGCCAGGTGCTACACAGAACAGCCTAGCCTGGGCAGCCAAGCACTTCTTCCTTCTATCCTGTCTGACGGTGGCCATGACTGATCAGCAAACATTGCACATCTCGGCTCTGCCAAAGAGTTGGAGGGACACTGGAAACACACAGGTTCTCCAGGAGAGGTGGGTCATGGTCCCTCACAGGGTTCACAAGCACCCACCCCTGTGAGCGGGTTTACCTGAACTTCCTTGACACCCACGGGCTTTGTGCTCAGAACCACCGATGGGGAAGAAGAGCTAACCAGAAGCTTCAAGATATCCTTGAGAGTTTCAGATATTGCACTGGTCTCAACCACCTGGTCCTAGTGAGAGAGGAAAGAGTCACGAATCCCATCATCACCAAGCACTCACGCAAAATTAGAGGCAAAATGCACAGCTCTCTTACAACGTCCCCAATATGAAGCACAGTTGACATTAGGTCTACACTTGTTTTTGCCACAGTCAGACTACGACAAATAAGACGTTCAATCATTCTTCCCTGGGAGAGTGGGTCCCTTCTACTGATTTTAGAAGTTATTCATGCTTGTTATTAAAAAATTCTAAAAACAAAGACAGGCGCATCACAGAAATGTTAATATTCTATGTATATCCTTTCAGTCTTTTTCCCCAAACATATGAACACATGGTTTTTCTTTCTTGCATAAGATTTGATTTGTTTTTGGAAATTAAGAACTATTCAAGAAAATGAAAAGGGTCCAGAAGAGGGAAGACAAGTGTGCAGAAAAGTAACAAAGCTGGAGGACTTAGGTTACCGGATATGAAGACCTGTTGTTGTCGTTAGGTGCCATCAAGTGGGTTCTGACTCATAGCGACCCTACAGAACAGAGTAGAACTGCCCACATAGGGTTTCTAAGGTGGATTCGAACTGCTGACCTTCTGGTTAGCAGCAGTAGCTCTTGACCACTGCACCATCAGGGCTCCATTAAGACCTGCAGAGCTACCGTAATGAATACCCAGCAGGCTTGTGTTCACATGTTTTAGAATGTTTATAGCACCACCATTCATAACAGTCCCAAACCGGAAACTACCCCAATGCCTATCAATAGCCAGAAATAAATAAACTGAGGTGCAGCCACATGGGGGAATACTCCACAGCACCAAACACGAAAACGTACAGCTATACTCAACATGGATGAATCTCACAGCCATAATGTGGAGGGAAAGAAACCCAACACACTGTATTATTCCTTTATAGAAAGCAGGCAAGCTTTATCTATGCTGTTTGTGGCAGGCAGAATTCTAAGATGACCCCAATGGATCATTCCATCACCTGTGACTTGCTTCTAACCAATGGGATATGGCAAAGGTGATAGGCCAGTCACTCCTTTGATTAGGGTTTGTTATATGGCAAAGGGGATGGGTTGTGAAATATTATGTTATTTAAGACACTGTCTTGGGAGACTGGAGCGTTGTCCCAAGGATGACTGCCTGGTCTGGCCCAGCCCCTGCTCTGCCAGGCCATCTTACAGCAAACTGAGTCCGAATCTGCCACTAATTGAAAATCTACTCTCTGTGAGGACCTCTACAATAATAATCATCAAATTAGCTAACACAGCGTCTTACAATGCGTTAGGCTAGGGAAATTGCCTTCAGGTTTTAGATGTGTCCTTGCAAGAAAGGTGGGAAGAAGGGAACTCCTGCTTCTGGGGACAAGTGTCTGAGCTCAGCAGGGTTGTAAGGGAAGCTCTTTCGCCAGCAGGAGAAGGGATCTGACAATGAGGCTGGATGGAATGTTAACGGACTTCTAAGATTCATCAACTCCATTAGTCTACACCTCACATGCACACAAGTGCTTTAAAAAATTCCCAGGCTAATTCAACCTGCACGTTGGAAGAGACCCAGGCATCAGGCTTCCTAACAGCAGCCCCTGTGATACCAGGGTGCAGCCCAGGTGGATAGCCCCCATCAAGTCCATTGGCAACCATCCCCCACACGGCCCTGTTCCCCTAAAAGGTCAGATCCACATGGTTCAGGATTGCCTGCGAGGGACGGCTGGGCATGAGGGAAGGCGCTGCAAGCATCGCTGACCTAAGCCTGGTTTCATGGTGTGGCTGTTACAACACGCACGTGTTCCCCCACAGCACATGGAAGAATCACAGAAACTTACGGACTGACCTCCCGCAGAGCTTTGGGCCGGATCTGAATGGCCATTTCCGGCACGCTGATGAAGGACCACCGGATCTGGATGTTCTCCCTGTTTTCCTGCATGTGCAGCTCTAGCTGTGAAAGAGAAATCCAATCAGTTACTAGAGGCCCTCTCTTTACCAGAGCTTGGATGTGTGTGAGTGATGTGTGCACGTATGTGTGTCTTTGAGGGTACTGAGTACGTGTGTACATGCGTCTCTGTGTATGTGTGTGTGTGTAAGTGTATGTATGCATGCGTGAGAGTGTATATGTGTCTGTCTGTCTGTGTATGGAGTATGTGTCTCCATGTGTGTGTCTGTGTGTGATGTCTGTGTTATTGTGTATGTTATGGCTGTGTATGTGCGTGTGTCTGTATGTGTGAGCAGTGTGTGCAAGAGAGTATGTGTCTGTATGAGTATAACTGTATGTGGGTGTGTATGCCTCTGTGTGTGTGTCTGTGTGTGTGAGTGTATGTGTGTGGGGTGTGTGAATGTGGGTGTGTGTGTGGTATGTATGTGTGTGTCTCTGTATGCATGTGTGTGTGTGTGAGACAGTATGTGTGTGTATGTGTGTATGGTGTGTGTATGTGGGTTCATGCATTCATTTATTTTCCTAGAAAACTGTTTAGCCTCCCTCTTGGCATAATATGCACTTTTAAAATGGGAAGGAGGACCCCACTCCCTTCAACCTCCTCCTTCACCACCGTACCCCCCGCCCCTGCCAGCACCTTCCTTTGCCTCAGCCCCCCATTCGGAGAGGAACCTCACCACTGGTGGCTGAAAACCAGATGTCATCACACCTCTGCAGTCTTTTTTAAATGACTAGTCAGCTATGCTTTGCATATCTCCTTCTGGGGGCATCACCAAGGTTTAAAGGAGAGAGGAACAACAGAAGAGAATCCAGGGTACCCTACTCCTAGTCCTGGCCATGGATGCCCCCTACCCCGAAGCCCTGAAGAGCACGTGCAGAGCTGGGCAGCGCCCTGTCATCTCTTCCTGCCTCACCCAGCCCAATCCATCTGTGGTCGGCAGACTAATGGCTCCCAAATATGCCCACACCCTAATCCCTGGCACCTGTGAATATGTCACCTTACATGATGAAGTGGACTCTGCAGATGTGATGGAAGGAAGGCACAGATCAGATTACCCTGGAGGCCCTCTCTCTACCAGAGCTTGGATGTGTGTGAGTGATGTGTGCACGTATGTGTGTCTGTGAGGGTACTGAGTACGTGGGTCCAATCGAATCACACGAGTCCCTAACAACAGAGGAGGGAGGCAGAAGAAGGAGCAGAGAGGTGTGACGTGAGACTCAATTGCTGGCTTTGAAGATGGAGGTAGGGGCCAAGCCAAGGAACGCAGGCAGCCTCGAGAAGCTAAGACCAGCCCTCAGCTTACAGCCAGCAAGAAAACAGACCTTGATCATACAACTGAATTCTACCAACAACCCAAATGAGCAAGGAGATAGATTTTTTTTTTTTTCTCAGAGCTTCCAGAAAGGAACACAGCCCTGCCAACACCTTGATTTTAGGCCAGTGAGACCCACGTCGGACTTCCAACCTCCAGAACAGTAACATAACAACTATGTGTCATTTTAAGCTAACTTGTTAACTTGTTACAGCAGCCATCGAAAACTAATACATCATCCTTCATTTTTCAGCCAGAGGCTCTTTCTAAAGCAAAAATCTTAGCTGTGTACATCACCATCTGTTCACCCCACAAACAGAAGGGAAGGAAAAGAACAGCATTAGAGTATACTCCTGAAGGTTCGGGGACTTTCAACTCTGGACCTAGGAATGGGATAAGAGAAATGGTAACTTCAGCTCCATGGCCATTTCTACCATCCTTTCCCTTATCCTAGAACAGTTACCCTCAAGTCAACCCCTACTCATGGTGACCTCATGTGTGTCAGAGTAGAACTGCACTCCATAGGGTTTTCAATGACTGATTTTTCAAAAAGGAGATCACCAGGCCTTTCTTCTGAGGCACCTCTCGGTGGACTCAAACCTCCAACCTTTCAGTTAGCAGCTGAGCACGTTGACCATTTGAACACTCAGGGACTTCTCATTGCCCTATAATTCTAGGTCATTATAGGAAAAATGTATTTTAATTTCATTTCCGCAAGTAATTGAGTTGCCCCTCCCCTCTCCACTAGCCAGGTGGTGGGAGGTACTGTCATTCCGATTTCTGGCACTGCTTTCGATTTGCAGAACATCAGAGAAGAGGCTTCCACATTAATAATTTACCAAGTCTTCAACAACTACCTCTGCTTTGACAGGTAATCCACATACTGTTTTTAAACTGTGTTGAGACATCAAAGACACAATTGAGTTACAGCTGTCTGAGTCGCCACAATGGCAGGAACCTCATGATACAATAAACACAACCTCAGAGACTACACTTCTCAGTTTGTGTCCGTGACTCTCTCTGGATTGCTTTAAGGCTCCCTGGGTGGTACAAACAATATGCTCTCAGCTACTAACGTGGAGGTGGGCGGTTCGAACCCACCCAGTGGTGCCACGGGGTGGGAAGAAGATCTAGTGATCTGCTTCCACAAAGATTACCATCGTGGAGCACAGTTCTACTCTGTAACACATGGGGTCGCCGTGGGCTGGAATTGACTCAAAGGCCATTGGTTTGGTTTGGTTTGGTTTGGTTTGTATTATATACTACATTATTATATACTAGAGTATATGATATACTATATACTATTATACACAGATATGTCTATATACATTTTTTAAATTTCCTACACACAAATACGACATGGAAGCTTACAGTGTGAGAATTAGGAAAGGAAGTGAATGAAAATATAAGTATCCACACCATATAGCTCATGCCACGTTTACCCTACAAGTTGCCGGGAACTGCTTTTCCCTGATTTGAAAACCTCACCTGTAAGTGAACTGGGGAGAGTCGGACATCGTAGAGCTGACGCGCCGTGCCCTCAGGAGGAGCAGGCAGCACAGCAACGATGAACTGAATGGCTTCGCCAACCACATCACAAGACACCACCTGAAGGGGGCATGAGAACAGATGAACTGTTACACGAGGAGAGCAAGAGGTCATATTGTACACCTCTTCGTTTTACAGAATAAAACAATCTGGGCTGGGTGAGTTAGCTTGGACCAGAATTTAAAGATTCAAATCTGATAAACCTTCAGATCCACGTCTCTTCTATTACGTAGTACTGTGAAAATGAGAAACAGTGTTCCAAATCTTTTCCTCCTGGTGGATTTGTCAGGGGCTCGCATATTGTGTTTGGTGAACCAGAAAGCCAACAAGGGCGACGGGGACCCTCAGTGAGATGGATTCGCCCAACAGCTGCAATGATGGACTTGAACATGCTGGTCATTGTGAGGATGACACAGGACTGAGCAACGTTTCCTTCTGTTGTCCATAAGGTCACCATGAGTTGGAGTTGACTGGACGGCCGCTAACAATAACAGCGAACTCTGTCTTGTCATAATGTGGTTGTTATGCTCTTTACACGCATAACAAAGATTTTTTTTTCTAATTTTATTGTGCTTTAGGTGAAGGTTTACAGCTCAAGTTAATTTCTCCTTCAGAAATTTATGCATATATTGTTTTGTGACATTGACTACAATTCCCCTAATGTGACAGTGTGCTCCCTCTTTCCACCCCAGGTTCTCTGTGTCCAGTCATCCAGTTCCTGTCCCCTCCTGCCTTCTCATCTTGCTTTGGGGCAGGAGTTGCCCATCTCGTCTCATATAGTCTCATATATTTGATTGAACTAAGAAGCACATTCCTCACATATGTTATTGTTTGTTTTAGAGGCTCGTATAATCTTTAGCTGAAAGGTGGACTTGAGGAGTGGCTTCAGTTCTGAGTTAGCAGGGTATCTGGGGGCCATAGTCTCGGGGGTTCCACCAATCTCTGTCAGACCGGTGAGTCTGGTCTTTTTTTGTGAATTTAAATTTTGTTCTACCTCTTTCTCCCACTCTGTCCAGGACTCTCTGTTGTGATCCCTGTCAGAGCAGTCGGTGGTGGCAGCCGGGCAACATCTAGTTCTTCCGGGCTCAGGCTGGTGGAAGCTCTAGTTCATGCGGTCAATAACAAAGCTTTTTTTCCCTTAAATATTGCTTTATTCTGTTCTTCTACACCAGCTGATTTTAAATTCCCTAGATTTTTCACATTCACATATAAAAATAAAAGTCATTAGCCATGTTCTCTTGCTAAAGAAATGAGCCTTAAAAAGAAAAGTTATAGATGTCACAAGTAAAAAATAAACAAATAAAAAATGTACTCAGAACACAAGAAATTATTTCTATCTAAATATTTTTTTAACCCATCAGGGTTTTCAGGAACATGGGGGTAATTCAAAGAACCTAGGATATATATGTGTGCATACGTATGCTGTATTATTACAAAATTATACAGCAATACCAAAAATAGAATTATAAAAGGAGGTGATTTAAGAACTTATAAGCTAAAGGCAAGTAATTACATCAGGAATAAATGAAATCAGATCCCTGATATAAATCAGAAAACATTTTAGAGGGATGATTTTTATAGCTTCTACCAAACAGAGAAATATCAAGTATCTGCAATATAATCCTCTCTACAGGAGCAGATCTTCTAGAATGAAGGGTCAGTAACCCTCCTTGGCAGAACTCCAAGCAAGCTCAGTGTCCGATAATTACAATGCCAGGTGCCAGGCATACACCAACTGGGAGGAAGGGAGGAGGGAAGAAGGAAGGTGTGAGAGGCCAGGGGCATGCTGGGAACTGTCTAATGGGATGGTCCCCTTAGGTCCTGAAGGTTGTCTGCGTGTTTGGCTGAAACTGAGTCGTCAGAACATGAGAATAAGGGCAGACAGACGCCCGGCCTTCCCAAGGGAGCTGCTGACCCCCACTGCAGAGAGTCACTTGGGGAGGAAGAGAAAATTCTTTAATTCTCTGGTGTATTTATCAGAATCTAAAATACCAAGTGGAAAGATTAACCAAATACTATTTTGTCACACAGTTCAGGGATAGAACATTCCCCCTTTTTCTGCCTCATTCCCTAGCTAATTCCCCTTTCCCCTTCATACCCAACTATGCCCTATATCCAACTTCTCTCCACTGTAGGTCTGCCCTACTTGCCCCACTCAAATAAAAATGCAGCCTGTAGACAGAGACCCTCTAGCGGGGGGGCCGGTTTCCAACGCCCAGGATTCGAAGTCCACAATCACACAGATCTAGAAAAAGAACATCTTGCCGTCTCTCAATACTGGTGGAAAGATGCACAACCCTTATTTCAACCCATTCTTATAGCATCATTTTCAAACAATTGATCTACGTGGATTAGCTACAGATCTTCATCATGTTATTGCATCTCTGGGGGTCACAGAAGGTTGGGACAAAAAAAGTTGCATAAGAAATGTTGTCTTTTCATTTTAAAAATAAATGGTCTTTAAACAATCCTTTTTTGAGGAACATATTTTGATGTTGATGCCGGATGAGTTACACACACAAATGACAGGATGCAGAGAAAATTCACTATCCTTCAGCTCAACCATCCAGGCCTTCTACGGCTTACAGTAAAAACAAACAATGACTCAGTCACTTCTGTTATTTCTCTAGGACCTTCTAGACCAAGCCGATCAGAATTTTACCAAGAACACTGACAGCTTCATTACTGCCTTGATTCAGGCAAGAAAGAGTTTGATTTCCATTTGTATCAGTTCTACAAAAAGCTTCTCTATCACTCCGTTTCTTGATCTATAAGTAGCCCAAGCACTTGGTTAAGAAAAAGAAAATACATATATATATATTTTAAACTTCTAGCTCACAATTAACCGTTCAAGCCATGTCAGGAAAGTAAGTGGAATCACTAAATGGGCCAGTCTACTGATCTAAAATCAGTCTTGCAGGAAGTACAGCTGAATGCTCCTTAGAAGCAAGGATGACATGGCTTCAGCTCACTTACTTTGGACATGTCATCAGGAGGGATCAATCACTGGAGAAGGACATCATGTTTGGTGAAGCAGAGGGTCAGTGAAAAAGAGAAAGACCCTCAATGAGATGGACTGACTCAATAGCCCCAACAATGGATCCAAGCACACCAACGATCATGAAGATGGGGCAGAACCAGGCAACTTTTTGTTCTGTTACACACAAGGTTGCCATGAATTGGAGCTGACTCAATAGCAACTGACAACATTAATTCAAATGTCTTTTCATAGCTTCCTCTGTTCTCCTCCAGCCCTAGAGCTTCCCAACCCTCTAAATGAAATCAGTCATGCAGACCAGCAATGTCTTGGCCTCCCCTCCGTGTCGGCCATAAAGAAGCTAATTAAAATATCAACCTGGACCTGCTCCAACATTAAGGGAACACAACTACTGTTCCTATGGGGCCAACAGGGAGAGACAACAATTAGGGCCAAACCCTTTTCTGGGGCTAGCCTCTGTCTCTAAACAAACAATAAAGCCTGATTTGTCAAATGGATGAGAATAAAATAGAAAAGAGGCTTTTAAAATAAGTAATCTCCTTTTAGTGTATTAAGGTGTTATCCACCATGGGGATTAAATTCTATCTCCACCACACACAGTGGAGGGGACTTCGTTATCTGAAAGGGTCACCCTCTTGGAACAGCAGAATGCAGGATGACCTGAATGCCAGGTGTAGTGGATCTTTCCAGCTAGTTAGCCTTCCTAAGTGCTCAGGATGTCAAGGGTCGACATCTACTGAACACCGATTAACAGGTAGCAACCCTGATCTTGATCCTAGAGGCTCCCTGCTGCACAATGAACAATGTTCATGAGAATCCATTTGTCATGGATTGAATTGCATCCCCCCAAAATATCTGTCAACTTGGCTGGGTCATGATTCCCAGTATTGTATGACTGTGTACCATTTTCTCATCTGATGTGATTTCTTTATGTGTTGTAAACTCTATCACTATGATGTAATAAGATGGATTAGCGGCAGTTATACTGATGAGGTCTACAAGATTAGATAGTGTCTTAAGCCAATCTCTTATGAGATAAAAAAGACAGAAGTGAGCAGAGACACATGGGAACCTCATAACACCCCGAAAGCAGTGCCGGGAGCAGAGCACATCCTTTGGACCTGAGGTTCCTGCGCAGAGAAGCTCCTAGACCAAGGGAAGATCGATGAGACGGACCTTCCTTCAGAGCCGACAGAGAAAGCCTTTGCCTGGAGCTGACACCCTGAATTTGGACTTGTAGCCTAGTGGACTATGAGAGAATAAACTTTTCTTTGTTAAAGCCATCCACTTGTGGTATTTCTGTTATAGAAGCACTAGATGACTAAAACCCCATTCTTGATTTTCAATTTAGCTCCATAGAGAATCCCAATGATGTGCAATTGTTTCGATACAACTTTTAAATCTTTACCGCTTGAGTTTTTAAGTGTTTCTCTCTGAAGCAGTCTGATATTGGTTCTGGATTTTTTCAAGTTGATTAGAAACAATATACATTATCTGTGGTGATGACAAAGAACTTGGCCTGGGATGGGAGTAAACCCAATGGCCCCAGAGCAGGACTCAACAAAGTCAAGCCTTGAAATCACAGGGATGAGTCCCCTTGAAAATAAACCACTAGCAGCCGTGGAGTCAACTCCAACTCATGATGCCTCCATCCACAATGAAACCAAACGTTGCCTAGCCCTGTGCTACCTTCATAATCACTGTTGTGCCACTGTGTATTCTGAGTGCATTCCAACCTAGTGGGTTCATCTTCCAGCACTATTTTCGACAATATTCTGTGGTCTATAGAGTTGACATTGGCTAATTTCTGGAAATAGATCTCCGGGCCTTTCTTTCTAGTCTGACTTAGTCTGGAAGCTCTGCTGAAACCTGTCTACCATGGATGACCCTGCTGATACTTGAAATACCAGTGGCATAGCTTCCAGCATCAGAGCAACACACAAGCTACCACAGAATGACACAGATAGATGGGTGGTGGCACTTGAAAATAGCCACCCATAAACCCAAACTGCTTTATTCTTGAGAGTTTTCCCAAGGCAAGCGAAGGACTTGATCACATAAA